TCTCTGTCTTCACCGAGTGTGTCTCGGCGAAGGACCAGCTTCTCATCATCCGAATCATCCGAAGCCTGTCCGGACAAGACGGTAGAGCGCCTCCGGCATTCTCTGCCCTCGTCGAGTGTGTCTCGGCCGACGACCCGCTTCCGCCGCGTTATCCACGCTTTGCGATCCATATCGCCGCCGCGCTTCGCGCCATTTTTCCGCGCCCCGGGCCGAGCCAGCCGGGAAACCGGCGCCGCCCGTGCCGATACCTGCCACCACGCGATTCGGTCCGCGCGAATACCAAAAGCAGCGGCTCCGCCCCGCACATACCGCGAGTTACCCCGCGCCGCCCGCGACCAAACCAACGTCGCCTTGCACGCATCGACCTATTGTAAATGCCGCGAGCGTAGATTGTAAATTGTCATAGAATAAATTCAACTATTTTCTTGTAACCGAGACGCGCCTTCATTTCGCTAACCTCGCCCTCCGTCTGCTTCTCCGCACCTTCTTCGAACCCCGGCCAACCGCGAGCTCGATCCGCGCTTCGAAGACAGGTTGTTTTAAATTTTTTTCTAAATAGTGACTTACAGTTTATTGATATTGGTTTATGGTTTATCCAACTGGTAACTTAAAAGAACTGATCGCATATGCGAAATGTGAACAGCTTTTGTTTCAAATAAATCTTGTAAAATATGTTGTAATGGAGTAATTATTTTATCATGTAGGTGTATCTTTTTTTTTAAATAGATGAGAGAAGATCCGACAGTAAACGAAAATCAAAAAGTAACGCAGTATCTATATTCTTTTCATCCCACTGATTGTACGGACCCAATTTAAGTCATTTCAATCGTGTTCATTTTTCTTTGGTTGCTTGTAGAGAACCAGCGCAAAATTTTTTATTGAATTTGTGTTACATTACTTGACGGAAACTTTTTAACAATAGCACCTGAAAAAAATAATAAATCAGAGTTTTCATTTCAAGTATATTACTAGATGAAATTTAATAACTCATTCAAAATTTACATTGAATTGCTGTGAGAATGTTCGTGTCTTGAAATTTTAATTTTATAGATCCATATCCGCAGCAGGTCTCCAAGGTAAAGAGCCTCTAGTCGATAGACTAATGTAGGTAAGGGAAGTCGGCAAATTGGATCCGTAACTTCGGAATAAGGATTAGCTCTGAGGAGCGGGGCGTGTCGGGCTTGGTCGGGAAGCGGGTTTGGCTGACGTGCCGGGCCTGGGCGAGGTGAACCGATCGGCGTTCTCGCGCCGGTCCCGGGGATCCGAGCTCGGTCCCGTGCCTTGGCCTCTCGCGGATCTTCCTTGCTGCGAGGCTTCCGTGGCGGCGCGAGCCGTCGTGGTCGTCCTCTTCGGCCGCCATTCAACGCTCAGCTCAGAACTGGCACGGACTAGGGGAATCCGACTGTCTAATTAAAACAAAGGCAAACCTGTATAATTGACAATTATGGCAAGTAAATTTGAGAATATTCTAGCTAATAATTTGCCTACAGGTAATGTCTCCTCCGTTTTTCCAGTTGGCATCAAAAGAACAAAGTAGTCGATCTGAAACACGTATTTCTCTTAATTAATTACGAGATTATAAATGAAATTGAAAATGTATAATACAGTAACAAATATAAATAAATAAATATATAAATAATAATATAAATAAATAAATAAAAGAACATACCGTTGCAAGAAAATTATCACCGTCTTGTAGAAATTTTTCGAAAGTATGAAAGGCCTCTTCATCTTTGAGAGGTAGATTAGGCAAGTCTTTAGGTTTTGTGGGTACTGGCTCCTCAGGTAACAGAAATTCCAAATGTGAAGTTTCAAAGGTTGAAGTTCACTTACAGTGTTAAAAATCTATGTTATATGTGAACTATTTTCAATAATGGCAGTAAATTGGAACGCAACCATAAATCCATGCAATGCTATACAGTTTTTTGACTGTATAGAAAATGATATTTTTAATGTTAGAAAATCTGTACCATACTCTACTTACACTCTTATACCGAGGTATAAGATATAAAGCCCGGTGTACATAGCCCAGCGAAAAATGGTCCCCATCGAATCGACGTCTAATCAACGTCGAAATCATGATTTTTCGCTGGGAGGCCGCAGTTCGGCAATACGCAAAACACACGCACAGTCTACATGTCAATCTAACCTCTCTGTGTATAGATTGACTGTGCGTGTGTCTTGCGTTTTGCGAACTGCGGCCAATTTTAACCTTAAAAACATCACTTTTCTACAGCCAAAAATCCGTACAATGTTGCATGATTTATGGTTGCGTTACAATAATATTTATTGTATAAGTGTTAAATAAATTAAACTTACTGGTTTCATGATAATAGGCTTCAGAGAACTGCAAAGATTACGTCGAGACACTTATTAAATAAAGAAATTTTTTCTTTGCTCTGAACGCTTCACGCTTCACTTATATACGTTTTCACTCAATCTGCGTCTGCGATGACTGTGCGATCAAGACGCGCCACTTCACTCTTCAGTTGTTAAGAAAACGTTAAAACAATAATGCGTACGAAACGCACACTGCGCATGTGCACTATATATATATATATATCTCATGCAAGTCATGTTCTTATCATGATAGTATCATTTTCATTAAAAATAACATTTTACGTCCATATACCATTATATTTAAGTTCTAACATATAATTATGAATATCGAAAATAATCTAACATCAAATTATCACGATTTATTTCCGACAGTATCTCTAAATTTCAAAATCATAATTTAATCAATTTTTCGTCATGATCAAAATATGACTTTTGATAGTCATTATGACATCATTTTGACGCCATCTTGACTTCAAAATGACTTTTTGTGCTGTCTGGGTGGCGTTCTGTATCTCGTGCTTAAGATTTTGAGTAGCGGCAGTATACGCGATCCTTTTAGCTTCCAAAACTTCCGGGAGATCCCTACTCCTGCCACGAGTCCAGGCTCTCCTCGCAGCGATAGCCTCAGTTCTTAATTGTGCTATCTGGTCATTCCACCAGTAGGCCCTGTCCACCCTAGCAGCGCGCAGGCGGGGGACCGCCGCCTGACACGCATCATAAATGCAGTTGTTTATCCACTTATTTGGACCCACCCCGATCAGGTATTCCGGATCACCAGGAGTCACCGCGCATCTCCATTCAATGGCTTCCTGGAAAAGCCCGATGTCCATCTTTCTAAAATTCCATCGATGGGGCAACGGTGGTGATATACGCCGAATCGATGAGTCTAAGATTTCGAAAGAAATGTAGAAGTGGTCAGACATGGATTCCAAGTCGTCACGAACCGACCAATTACGTATTCTGCCGGATAAATCAGAAGAGATCCAGGTGAGATCCACTATTGAAGTCCCTTGGTGGCTCGAAAAGGTAGGGTGATTTCCCTGATTCACCAATCTCCAGTCGAGTTGTGACGCAAGTTCTTCGAGAGCCTCGCCCCTAACATTAGAGGTGTTTGATCCCCAGGAAAGAGAGTGGGCATTGAAATCTCCGCAGATGATGAGCCTGTTATTGTGTGCTACGCAGGAGCAAATGGTGGATAGCTCCTCCAAGAAGTCCGAGAATGTCGGAAGATCAACGTTGGGAGAGATGTAACATGAAAGAATATAAATCTCTCCCAATCTGACCAGTACACAATGTCTACCACGGGCCTCCAACGTGGCAGGGTGCGCCGTGACCCTGTTATTAACAAAGATGGC